AAAAGTATCCAAATAGTAACAAATTACCAAATATAGTAAATATATTAGGTTTTAGTATTAGATTAGTACGAAGCCTGCTAAAATTTTTTTTAATCCATCATCATTATTTACATCCATAGAAAGTTTTATGAAAAGAAATTATGATTTAAAAATATCTGAACTCATTGATAATTCAGTTGTTTTTAGAATAAGTAACACATTCGTTTGCGCACCACTTGAAATCTAACTCAATTTTAATTGGCAATTTTCTTCAATTTGAAGTACACAATGTTGCAATTCGCGAACATTTCGCTTTCAAGAGAGATTCTCTTTTTAAAATGGAAGGTGAACCTGAATTATTTGCAAAAAAGAAACTGGAAAAACCAGAAAAATCCGTACCAATGATGTGGTGCAAGATTATTCTTGAATCATATGATTCATTCGATAATAATCTTGACGAAAGCTTTAATGAAAATTTTATTAATTATTCTTTCAGGTGGTAATTGTTTATTTATTACTCTATGTATATTAATAAATATTGCATTAAGTTCTTCTTAATGATATTGTTCAAATTACATCAATCTTGTATTAACATCGTGTTTTACAAGCTTTATTTTAATGATTCTATTTGATACTATAATTTACGATGTAAACATATTCTTCTAAATTAAAGAAAATTAATTTATCTCTCATCTAGTGAGTGTTAATTATATATTCTTCTGTTCTAATAATTCTTTTAGATTTATTTCAAGATTAGAAGTGTCTAATAAATTAGTGTAGAGTAAAAAAGTGAAGGAGAAAAATTCTCAAAAGTCATAGTTTTCAAAACATTTGGTACAGACTATTTTTATTTATAGAAATAAGATGTTTTTGTTTGTTTGGCTTTTAAATTTTTTTTAATAATTTATTTTTATTTATTTTTATTTATTTTTATTTATTTTGAATAAAATTTATTTTGAATATACAAAAGATTAGAGTATCAAATTTCTAAAAGTGAATTTTGGAAAATTTTAAAGATTGAAAATTCTGATTTTAGTTTTATGATGGTGATAGACGTTTAAAGTTGTAGGGGATGGTAGGTAAGGGATCAGAGGAAAGTCAGGTGGGTCATTAACCTGAGAATTTATATCGTCATTTCCTATTCAGCATCCCGGTAAGAGATCAGTGGAGATAAATGTTGAGGTATCCGAATTGTTTTCCTAGACAAATACCACTCTCGGTGGCACCAACAAATTTTACCTAATATTGTACGACTACTACATTCACTGATCAATGAATAGATAGATGAATAGCTTTTGTAGAATTCACTTTTAGTTTCAACGAATTTTTGAATAGCATGAAATATGGAAAAGGTTATTTCTGCGTCATTCTCTAATATAAGCATTTATCTATTCCTATAGTAATCGTGATATTCATTATGATTTTTAATTTACTTCATTATTTCGTTTTTATTTTAAGTTACGGTATTTACTACACTATTGTTCATAAAAATTCATTATAGGCTATTAAAAGAATTTTCCTTTCTGTTTATTGTTCTTTTGAAACAGTGAAATTTTAATAATAGTTTCTTATTGTTTCCGTTGAATTTAATTAATTGAACTAAAAATTAAGATATCAATATTTTTAATAAGATAATAATAAGATATAAATTTTTTTCTCTAGTTTTATATATGAAAAATTTTTAATTTTTACTGAGTATTTAAAATATAATTCGTTCACTAATAGAGACAGGGAATTTTAACCTGATTTCATACAAAAACTTAATAGGTGCATCTAACAATATTTTAAAAACAAAATTTGTTATTCTGGCGAATTTTTCTAGACTATTTTCAAAAATTTCAATGAAAAAATTCTTTAAAAAATTTAATTATTTTTAACAGATATTTTAAGGTGGTCACAAGTTTCAGTTTATCAATTTTTTTTAGAGGGAAATATATGTTTACGGAAAATGAGTAAAATTTATGAATTTTAATAATTTCTAAAAATTGCAATTATAACCCTTTTTGAATTCAATTATTTTTTACAATTTTCAACTGAACTTCATCTCTAAATTAATTATTTTAAATAATTTTCCGAAAGTTCTTGGAGAATTAAATTATTTAAATACGAAAATTCAATTTTTTGTAATAATTATAACTGTCCATGTTTTTTCTTCAGTTTATTAAAGGTATAATATTTTTAAAAAATAAAAAAATCAAATTTTTGAAGAATTTTAATTGTAAATATAACCATGATTTATTTTTATAAGTTAATAAGTTAATATGTTAATAAGTCCAAAAAAATAAATTTTTCTTTGCTTTATTCGAAGATTATTAAATCTTAAAAAAATTATGATAAAAAAATTCTAACAATTAAGTAGTTTTTAAAGATATTTTAATGTAATTTTTCGAAAACAATTAAAAGAATTTTTGTATTGTTTAAAGAAACTAATTAATTTTTTGATGAATTTTAATGAAATATTTTGACACGATTTGTTTCTCTAAAATGTTAAAAATAATACTAAAATGTTATTAATTTTTGTATGTATTTGAATTTTCGGAAATATGTAATTAAAAGTTCTGAAAATACTAAATTTTTGAAAAATTAGAAGTTAATGTTCATTAATTTTCATTTTTTTAAATTTATGTTTAAAGATTAATTATTTTCAATTAAATTTTACAAAATTTTTTGAAAATAAGTCGAAAAAACTCGAATTTCTAAATTTCCCTGACAAAAATTTTATTTCCTGACATTTCCCTGACTTTACTTACAAAAATTTTGTTTTACTGACACGTGGCCACCCTGTTTTTAAAAAATTCTAATTATTTCAAAAAATGTCATTTAGATACTAGTTTTTAAAAATTCAATTATCATGAAAAAATAGAATTGAAATATTTTAAAAACGAAATTCTTCAGAATTTTAAATAAAATTTTTTAAAAATTCAATTTTTTATAAAATTTTAGTAAATTTGATAAAATTATTAATAAAATTTTCGTTTAAAACTTTCTGAAATTAAATGATTTCCGAAAATTGTAACTCATCTTTTCAAATTTTAAATAATAACTTCAAGTAAGTTATTCTTAAATTTAATTGTTTAACATAAATTTAATTATCTACAGAAATCATAAATTCAATGGAAAAAATTTTTATCGAAGATTCAAGGTTTTTAAGTATTTCAAAAATATTTTTGGACACCAAAAACTCGAATTTTTGTAGCAATTGTAGAAATTTGTTTACAAACTTTAAAAAAAAATTTTTTTTAAAAAACTTTAAAATGTTTTTTTTAAATTCCACGACCGGAATTATTTTTGTAATTTCTAAGTTTTAACAAATTTCTTTACATTTAAATTTTTTATTTTAATAATTGATTTCACTCATTTTTTAATCGATTCATTTAAAAATTTTTAACTCTTATTTTTATTTTAGTTCTGACTCCAAACTATGTTTTGTGTAACGTTTGATGGGTGAATGTTTATAACTTTTTAATTTTTTGACGAAGGTTTTAATCAATTTGATTTAGTCTTTTGGTAAAAGTATACTTACGTTTTATTTTCGTTTTTATATTATTTATAATGATTAATGAATGTTAGACTATTAACTTTTTAAAATTTTTTATATTTTTTTTAGATTATCTAAAGAGGAAATCATTCAAAGTATGGCGAACCATGAGAAGAAGCAAAACTATTTTTTTCAATTAGTTTTAACTAAGGGCATACTATAGCGAACCATGGGAAGAGAAAAAACCGTTTTTCTCCTCCCCATGCTTTATCATACTTCTCCCATAGTTTTAAAATATGAAAAAAATATTTTTTTTCTTCCAATGGTTGGACATAGTTTGCCCATAGTTTAAAAATAATTGAAAAAATAGTTCTGCTTCTTCCCATGGTTCGCCATACTTTGCCCATAGTTTAAAAATGTAAAAGAAAAGTTTTACTTCTTCCCATGGTTTGAAAATAAAAAAAAAATTTTCATAGACTATCTAAAGAGGAAATCATTTATTGAAAAAAAAACAATTTTAAAAATTAATTTTTCCAAATGTTTTCGTTTAGTTTCCGTTTTCTAATTAACAAATGAAATTTTAAAAAATCCACAGAAAGGAAAAAAATCATTAAGAATAGTAAGCTTTCTTAATTAAAGAATTATTTTAATTGGCTGAACTAATTAAATTATCTGCGAACACTCTCTAAATTTTCACCATTAAATTCTATATTTTACAACTAGTTTATACTGCTAAACTGTATTCAAAACCAGTCTAATTAAACTACGATTATCAACTATTCAAAAATATGAAAGCATATAAATGAACTAAATATACTTTTCCTGTTGGCCTATCCAATTCTTCGTTTGAATCTAGAATTGCGAAAATCACCCCTCACAGCACCGGGATATTCAGGATATCCCAGAGACGTCCTGGGGATATCGATTTGTTTTCGGAAGTTTGGATATCTCTGGGATATCCTAGGGACGTCCATGGATATCCAGAGGATAATCCAGGGATATCCAAACTTCCGAAAACAAATCGATATCCCCAGGACGTCTCTGGGATATCCTGAATATCCCGGTGCTGTGAGGGACTATTGATGATGATAATCTTGAACACCATTTTTAATCGACACTTGAATTTTGCACTGAAAATGGAATAACTTTTTGGAAAATGAAAGTATTGTCCTCAGGAGAAGGTGATACAATATATTCTTGCTTTTAGAAGAGTTGCAATATTGGAGAACAAACAGTGAAGGGTAGATCTAAAAATATCCTAGAACCCGGGACTTCTGGAACTGGTTGCAGAGAAGGTCAAGCTAAAAAAGCTTGGCAAAAAGTGAACAACTAGTTCCTTGACCTGCGGCATTCAGGGCGAAGACATTAAAATGCGGTCTCACTTGAAGAAAATCTTTTTTTTTTTCGCTCGCCTCTCTGGTCTGACACCTCGTTAAAATCCGCGAAGACCATGTGTCTTGAGAACACATCATTGTTGTTGTTGTTTACGGATCGTGAGCTGACTTTCGTTTCCGTTGCATAGGCGCACAATGGTTACACTTACCCGTCCCCATGGCTGATAGCACAGCCTTCTTCCACCTTAATCCAGGATCAAATGTTGACTCGCGTTTGATAACACTACTTAATGATAAGGGACCTTCTCGTCCAGCCGAGAGACCGCGAACGAACTGGTACCAGAAGATGACTTTTCGTGGGACTTGTACGTGGGACCGGACAACGTCATCGAGAGTGCGCCTCCGGATTGGCTGAGCGCATAGCTTCTATCTTTCTCTCTGTCTCACGTTCAACACACACCATGAGATTTTACTCTCACCGTTTCCTTCTCGGTAATCTCCTGTCTCTCTCACGCACTGCTGGATAACGCCTTTGCCTTTCTCCTCCCACTCTTCATCAGCTACAAGACTCTGCAGCAAGAGAGACTCTGGGGCTAGCACTCTATTCAGCTCTAAGCTAGGATTCGAGCCAGCGAGCTCAATGCCTGTATAGTTCGCCACTCGGTTAGCCACTCGGTTCGCCACTCGGCTCGCCATGAAGGAAAATCTCTATATGGAGTTATAGGAACGCGCCATAAGAGGTGTAAAGTTTATGTCTTCAGGAATACGTAATTTTTAGCCATTTTTTTGCCGGCGAATATATATTGTTGGAAATAGTAGGCCACCCATTTTTTCCACAAGATGTATGGCTTAACTTTACGCTACTGTTAATGTTACGCTACCATAGAATCTTTTTTTTTCTACCTAAAACATAGTGTAAAATTCTCCAAGGTGAAATATGTTCTGCAAGAAAACAATAGGGAATTAGTTCTATATGGGGTTTAAAAAAAATGTTCAAAACGGATAATATGTCGTTGAACGAGACTGAAAGTCATGTATAAATTTTCTGATTCACGGTCTTTCAGCAAGAAATTCTAAATTTCAATTTTCATATGGATAGACAAATTTATGACTAGAAAAAACTACATATTTTTAAAAAGAGGAAAGCAACGAGTTATAGGCAAAAAAATAATTACATACAGTTAGTTAAGACATTCTGTGAAAATATATTCAAGATTCAATATAATGAAGTTGAGACTTTATTGGTAAAATAATATATTTTATGTTACAAAAAATGAAAAAGTAAAATTACTTTAAATAGGACCTATCTTAACTTGTTCGTTTTGAAAAAGTATAAAAATGATATTACAGGGTTGCCACGCAACCTGGAAACCTGGAAATGTCAGGGAATTTTTACAAACCTTGAAAAAACCTGGAAAAGTCAGGGAATTTTCATTTGAATCCTGGAAAATTATTGTTTTCTAAAGTTATTGTGCTTATTCTTGAAATATAATTTTTCTTAATTCAATTTTAAAAGAGTTGCCTTCACAATTTTTTTTCGCAATAATTCAATTATTTTCATAAATAATCAAAAAATTTATAGATTTACAATTATTTTCATAAATAATAAAACTCATCGCAAAATTTCAATTATTTTTAATACAATTTTAATGGAATTTCTCGAAAAATGTATAATTATTCTTAAAAATTTTATTCAAATTCATCAAAGAAATTCAATTATTTTCAAAATTAATAAAATTCTTCGCAGAAATTCAATTATGGTCAAAAGTTTAAAAAAATTTATCGTCAAAATTTCAATTATCTTTATAAATATTAAAATTTTTCTCCAAAATTCAATTATTTTCAAAACTTTTAATGAAATTCTTTTTAACAAATTCAATTTTTTTCCAAAACTTCTCCTCCAGTCAATGATTTTCAATATCTACTATTTTAATAAAATTTTCCAAAAGAAATGAATTATTTTAAACATTTTTCATAAATTTCTTCGCAATAAATCTATTATTTTCAAAAATATTCAATTTATGTTTACAGAGATTCAATTATTTTTATAAATAAGTAATACAATTTTTTACAGGGATTCAATTATTATTTTCATAGATAATAAATCTCATTGCAGAATTTTAATTATTTTTTATACAAGGTGGATTCCACGTCAGTTCAACACACTTATTTTCATGACTTGTTGGGATTTGGCTGTAATTTTGTAAATTCATTACTTTTATAGTGATAAACAACTCCACCAAATATTTTTTCAAAATTTTGAAAATTACCAAAAATATGGCATTTTCAAAATTTTTGTCTTTTTTTTTAAGTGCTATAACTTTGGTTCTAATTAACCGATTTTGGATTTTAAAAAAAGGATTTCTTTGGTTTTAAGAATATTTTAAGTTGAAATTAAGTAAAAAAAAAAAAATTCAAAAATTTTTTTTTTTTGAAATTTTGAAAAATTAAAAATACGTTTTTGAAAAAACATCATCTTCGATTTTTTTCAAAATTTTACTAAATGTTAGGGCAAATGTGCTTTACATGTCCTGTAAGTTTCATCTTGGGATCTCAAAGGGATTCGGAGTAAAAAAATAAAACGTAACCACAAATTACGAACATATGGGGCAAAATTCGAATTTTCTCTAAACTTTGCTAAAATGTTACTATATTATTAGTAGAAATTTGATTAATTTTACTTATCAATAGGTATATTAAATCAAAAAATATTTTATCAAATTAAAAAAAAATTAATATTTACACTTCTACTAATAATAGTAACATTTTAGCAAAGTTTAGAGAAAATTCATTTTTTTACCTGGGCAGGTGAGGAATTTTGCCCCATATGTTCGTAATTTGTGGTTACGTTTTATTTTTTTACTCCGAATCCCTTTGAGATCCCAAGATGAAACTTACAGGACATGTAAAGCACATTTGCTCTAACATTTAGTAAAATTTTGAAAAAAATCGAAGATGATGTTTTTTCAAAAACGTATTTTTAATTTTTCAAAATTTCAAAAAAAAAATTTTTTGAATTTTTTTTTTTATTTTAATTTTAACTTAAAATATTCTTAAAACCAAAGTTTAAAATCCAAAATCGGTTAATTAGAACCAAAGTTATAGCACTTTCAAAAAAAAGACAAAAATTTTAAAAATGCCATATTTTTGGTAATTTTCAAAATTTTGAAAAAATATTTGGTGGAGTTGTTTATCACTATAAAAGTAATAAATTTACAAAAGTACAGCCAAATCCCAACAAGTCATGAAAATAAGTGTGTTGAACTGACGTGGAATCCACCACAATTATAATCGAATGCTTCGAAAAATGTAATTATATTTAAAATTTTATTAAAATTCGTCAAAATAATGCAATTATTTAAAAATTTGTTAATAAAATTCTTTATGAGAATTCAATTTTGAGAAACATTCAATGATTCAATAAATTATTTATTTTTGTATCAAAAATAATTAGGTATTTAAAAAGAAATATTATTAAAAAATTCGTCTCAAGAATTCAATTATTTTCAAAAGTAATAAAATTCTTAGCAGAAATTCAATTATGGTCAAAAGTTTAAAAAAAGTTATAGTCAAAATTTCAATTATTTTTATAAATATTAAAATTTTTCTCTAAAATTCAATTATTTTCAAAAATTTAAATAAAATTCTTGACAAAATTTCAATTTAATTTTTTTTGTAAAAGTTGAATTGAATCTTTTTGAAGTTATTTAAAGTTTTTATTTTCTAATATATATATTTAAGTGAAGAATTTCCGAATACCTGAATAATCGATGAAATTTCGTAAAATTGAATTGTAAACAAAAGTATTGGAAAATGTTGAAAGAAATTTTTCAGAAATTATTAATAATAATTAATTTACACTTTATAAAGAAGAATTTTAGTTAAAAATTGTAGAAAACAATAATTGAATTAAAATAATGAAAGTAATTTTGAATAAGTTACAGTAACAATATTCTTATAATAATAATAGGTATAAAATGATGATTTTATCAGTCCAACATTTTTAATTATTATAAAACATGAAGATATCGATCGCTCCGAGTCGAAGACTCACTCGCACACCTCCAAAATTTCATTTACATAAAACAGCTTGTAGCTTTGTCATTTATTGGTCTAATTTTTTTTATCTTAAAGCTGAAGAAAAGAACTTTTGAACTCTTAAACGTGTGTTTTCTGTTATAATTAAAAATGAAGACAGAAAAATTTAAAAAAAAAATAAAAAATTGTAAATTTTTAAGCAATTCTTCAACTTTAAATTATTTAATGTCGGCCCCAATTTCAGTTAAGATCTTTTTTCTGATAAGGGGCCATCCACATATTACGTAACACTTTAAGGGGGAGGGGGTGGGGGTCAAACAGTTTGTGACAGCCTGCAGAGAAAATGGCGCTAATGCATGTAATAGAGTGTGACATGGGGGAGGGGGGGTCAAAAATGGCCAAAAATAGTGTGACGTAATATGTGGATGGCCCCTAAGGGTGTTAAAGAATATTTAATTCTGCATTAAATTAGATTTTTTTGAACAGATTTCTTTAAAATATATATCCGATTTACAGTTTTTGTTTGGATAGTCTCATTATTAGATTTTATCTTTATACGATTAAATTCTCTCCCTTCCTCCTTTTAATTATTGTAGCTATATTTTTTTTATTAATTTTCATGAACTATTCATTTATTTCATCTTTGCATTGCTTTAATTTCCTTTAATCATCAACGTTATTAATTTCTTTATTTAAATATTAACTATTACTAACAGAACTCCTTATAAAAATTTTTTCAACCCAATTGGTGCTTTATTCTTCTCTTGAATGCAAATAAAAAAAAAAGTTTTTGGAAAAATATTCGTAAACGTAGGAGATATACTACTTTTACATTTTTTAGCATATTTTTCTTTGAAACCGCATAACTGTTTATTGGTAAAAGACTTTGAGGTCATGTTTGGTACAAATTTCTGTATTGTTGCTATTTGCAACGAATATTCAGTTGGTGTAAGTACTACTTGTACCACCTTCTCCAAAAACACTGCTTCAGGCGTTGAACAGAGGCGCATGATTATTCCCCAAATGTCATTTTACCGAACTGTCATTTTAACGAATTGCATTTAGGGGCCGTCCATAAATTACGTAACACGTTTTTAGTGAAATTTTGAACCCCCCCCCTCCCCTATGTAACAAGTTGTAACAAAATCGTTTTACACCCCCCGCCCTATCATTGTTACGTAATTTTTTAAAATATTTTTTTTACTAACGTTTTTCGAAACAAATTTGTTTATTACTGTTAGTTTTAGTAGTTATATCGTACAATACAAAATTAAGTTAAATA